AAAATCTTTAAAAAGTAAATAAAAAATTAAATTAAATTAAATTAAATCAAATTCATAAAATAAAATAAAATACCGCTGATAATGACGAGACCCAAAGTACATTTCCCAAGAGGCAGGACACCTGCTCACGTTCAGACACCACGCGCTCTGAGCTGAACACGGGGCCCTGCGCAGAGTCCTGGACCAGCTGAGCGCGAGGGACGCAAGGAGGCACCAGCAACACCCACGCACCTTGAGTTTCATCTGGTCCGTGGCCAGGGTCCCGTCCGTCACCAGGCCGGAGCTCAGCACCTGCTCCAGGAAGTCACTCAGCTTCTCAGCATCGTGCTCCGCTCTGGAGCCTGAGGTCTCGATGAGGACATAGAACGGACTTTCTGGAAGGCACAGAATGGGTGAACAGAGGCCATCGGACAGAGCTAGGAGGGGTCTGGGCCAGCCTGGCTGAGCGTCTCTGACGGCCCTCGTGCGGCCCACGGAGCAGGAAGACTCGGTCCAGGCTTTATCTCCAATGGCTTAAAAACAGGTCTTTCATGGGGCACCTGGGGGGCTCAGTCGGTTACACACCCGACTCCTGGCTTCAGCTCGGGTCGTGATCTCAGGGTCGTGGGATCGAGCCCGTCAGGCTCCGCGCTCAGCAGGGAATCTGCTTGTTCCTCTCCTTTTACGCCTCCCCACGCTCTAGCGTGCGCTCACTCGCTCTCTCAAATAAATATAAAAATAAAAACAGGTCCTTCATGGGGCGCCTAGCTGGCTAAGTGGGAGGAGTGTGACTTTTGACCTCAGGGTTGTGACTTCAACCCCCACACTGGGTGTAGAGATTACTAAAAAAATAATAAAATAAAATAAATAAAAATAGGTCTTTCACTGGAAGAGAAACCGCACTCCCCAGAAACATATGAACCACCCTGAGCGACGCCATGGACACTTGCACCGGGCTGTGGGTGAGGAGCCTCCTCACCAAACCACGGTGGTGGGGAGGCCATGGGCTAAAGGAGAGGCCCCCGTCCCCATAACGGCCTGTGATGCCCATAATGCACAGCGCAACATGCAAAAAGGCATGATTTTACCCAACATATCTTTTTTAAAGTTTAAAAAAAATGCTTTAGGAACTATAAAAAAATGTTAAGCCTGTTTATTTTTCAAGGCTACTGTGAATTTATTTTTAACTTACTGAAATCAATGAAAACTCACCAAATGCACAGCTCTTCCTTTTAGCACTACATTAAAAGTGCCTTCCAGAAAAATACTACAAACCTGTCCTACTATAAAGAGAATAAGTGTTTTCCAGATATCGACATTTTTCCATGCTGAAATGCAAATTCTGCTCTTTATCTTATGTCCTAGAAAACACTGGGAGGATTTTAATTTCGACTGGCTCCTTTTCCAATTACAAAAGTAAAACATGGTTATAAAAGGGAATCTGGAAAACAAAGACAAATAAAAATGAAAAAACAAATTGCCCGCTTGCAAAATATAACAACCGAGCATGTTTCGACAGCGCTCCTTCCTGTCTGCTTCCACAGTCAAAGAGATCTGCACACTGAAACCTGCCTGGGACAGTAGGGTGGCCTCTACTGGGTGGCAGACCCTCCATCCACCGAGGGATGCTGTCCACACAGGGACCTTCTATCCACCCAGGGTCCTTCTGTCCACCCAGGGATACTGTCCACACAGGGACCCTCTTATCCACCCAGGGTCCCTCCATCCACTGAGGGATGCTGTCCACACAGGGTCCCTCCATCCACCCAGGGACCCTCCATCCGCCCAGGG